CGCGCCTCCAGGAAGGTAGGCTGGCATCAAAATGAGGTGGAAGGACTCGCCATCAATTTGCACCAAATCATCGTAGCCAGAACTTGAGGAGATTTCATCCTGTTGAAAGAACTGTGGTGTTCCACCGACACTGTCATTTGCTGATGGAAAGTTCTTGCTACGACTACTTCGAGAGGATCTCTGAGATACTGAAAAGGCGATAAGAAGTGAAATCACATTTTTCATTCATTGACCTTAAAAATTAATTCACTTCATGGCTCACCACCTTCACGTCGACGTTTGGAACTGAGAACACTGCTTGAAGAGAGACTTCCTTCCCCCAGATCCTGAGCCATGCGTCTCTCGTTGTTGTCCTTGTCTCGCTTCGGACAGGCACAACTGCGGAACTTGAGGCATTGTCGTCCCAGTACCTCACATGGTCCCTCCGTTGCCGATCCACTGAAATGAAATTGTACGGTGAGTACAAGGCTCCGTGTACGTACAGGATCCAAGTTGATGCTGGCGCATAAAAACATTTGGTATAATCACATTCTGATTTAAACAGTAGATTGTCATTTACGGAAGGAGTGAAGTAACTACGATTTATAGTTCAGTCACAGGTATGACTCTGCAAGTTGGCGAAAATATGACTCCACATTCTTCCACGTGGCTGCTTGAGGCCAATTAGTGCACGTACCGGATGTCCTGGACGGTTAAAGTGAGACGACACAGCTTGTTGAAACATGCAAGCTTAGGTGAAAAGCGACTCAGTGAGATATAGAAAGCACCACCATCACCACCCTCCCCCCCCCTCCCCGCCTTTTACACATCCACGCACACACAAACTCGTGCAACCCCAAGAGAAGGGTGGGCGGAGATGGTGGGTAGTGCAAGGGGGGTTGCATTCGACCATTGATAACGTCACGGTGAGAGCAGGGCACCCACCGTACGGCCTTTCCTCCCCCTTTCCACCTCCCTGTCCCCCCCTCCTCAACCCCGGCTTCATAAACTCACTTTTTGATTGGTCGTTCCAGAGTAATGATGAGATAGAGTGGTTTCTTGTTTCCTTGACCGCCATTGTATAGGCAGCTGTTGAAGCAGGTGAATTTACCGTTAAATTGGCTGTACTCACAGCCTTCTGCAATACAAAGCATAATCATTGAGAGAGGCGAAGAAAAAAAGAGAGATAGATAGAGAGAGAGAGAGAGAGAAAACAATAACTCAGGCTTGATACGCTTTACTGTGCCAATCTTTAATGACTCATCAAGTTGTGCTATTTATTTTCTTAAATACACGCTTTCAAGCTCTAATGTAGGGGAATTCAGATCCAACATTCTTCACTCAATCGAAAGCCCCCAGCTAATGGGATACGACCTATCAACAATTAAACCACGAGAATGGACTGCTCGTAGGCTGTGAGGAGGACATGAATACGGGGGGTCCCACATTACCCAAAACGCTACTCTTTGAGAACACCGAGAGTAAGTCAACAAATGACCGACCCAGTTCCAGGCGCGTTCTTTCTTCTCTTTTTTGTAAATTTAGGCCCACTGTTCAACATCTTCCCCCTCACCCACTTCACTACTCACCTTTTGGACGTTCGTATGGCAGGGTGACACAAAGACGCTCAGTAGTGGGGTCGTAGAAGTATTCGGCGTTTGAATTACCAACTAAGATCATACTGTATCGTGAAAGACCTGGCGTTGGAGAGACCATGAAGTCTTCTAAACACCTGAAATTGGGATGAAGGAAGGCATAAATATTTATTTTAATTGTAGCTAAAATTGCTGCATCGACACACTGGTTCGCCATGAACCTTTGAATGACTTCCTGCTGCTTGTCAGAGGTGCCGTAGACGGGTGTGAGTCGAATGAAACAGCCGTCCGGTGGTTGCCGTTGGCACCAATAGGAGAGAGTCCACCATGTGGGTGCCTTTTTGGCGTATAAATTTGTCCATCCTTGATCGTCCTTAAAAAACTGGCCGTAGACAAAGAATTAGTAGACTCTCTGTTCAGTCTGTTGAAGGTAACTACAAGACTGCACAACATCAATGATCTTGTCTTGACAACAGCAAACTATTCTACTTTCAAGCCATCTAAAGCGTACTTTGATGTACTGACTTGCTTTCATCCACTTGTGTTTACGGTGATCTGAATTAAAAAAGTATTATTACCGAAACCGGCCAAATGGGAAGAAGCTTGACAACTTCCGAGAAGTATTTCAAAGACAATAACACCTTTAAGGGATCGGAGAAATTGAAACATACTTATTGTAAAGGCTAGAGACTTACAAAGTAAGCAGTACTGGGTTTTGTTTCAACTGAATCATATGCATCTTCACACAAAGGTCGGTATAGGTCGAAACCATAATAACCCGGAAATGGATCGCTAAAAGTTGGAAGTGAAATTTGAGTGGCTGCGAACACGACAAGATAAACCTAAGGCGCATCCAACTCTCAATTGTGTTCCGCCATGTAGGCGATCACAACCACATGAGCACTTAACAAATAAAACACCTGTTGTGTCCACAATGACACGTGAAACTTACAGGACGGGAATATCATCTGAAAAGAGCTTTTTCGGAGGTGGTTGATGGTCGACAACAAAGCTCATTTTGCCCTCTATTTCACCGCTACCACTGCCACTCCCACCACCAGGGCTCATTTTCACGTTCATGAGAGGTCCACTGACACTGCTCCCATCACCACTGTTAATCGTGGTGTCGACGGGTACCAATGGGAGAATCGAGGGGGGCGTGGGAAGTGCACCGACATCGTCGTGTGTGAAGGTGTGGCCAGAAACTGCAGCTGCAAAATCATGGAATCCCGAAGACTAAAAGAAAACAGAGAACCTGATATCACTACCGGCGATTTCCCAAACACCACCGACTATGCGCCTTTTATTCGCGTTTCAACTCGTGCCCAAATAGGGGGTGGCAGTGATTGCCGCTAAGATGATTTGCCTACACGTTGCCAGCATCTATCGGCAAGACAGGACAGGACAGAACAGGACTCACCAGCTTAGACAACGCCTCCATGGTGGAATGTGGAACCTGCCGTAGCGGGCTACATTCGCGGGCAGAGTAGCGCTATGCTGATTGGTTGGGGTGGGTGTGTGTCGGACGCATGTGGAGAATGAACCAATCACCTCGCGGCATGGTACGCATCATGCACATTACTGCAGTGTATGTGAACGAGAGGCGTTGCGTGCGTGGGTGCGGAATCCGATAGAGCATGAGTTTTGTGATTTGTGGAGTAGACTGTCATCGAAGATGCAAGAAAACTGTTACTTCGTCCAAATGCCCGGACAATGCCTTCCAATTAACAAGGAATCAAGTTGAGCATTTTTATCTGCTCTAAGGTTTTGCTAACCATTCACCCAAATCGGAGTATAGTTTATAAAGAAGTGGTTCAACTTGACGAATTTTATGGCTACAAATAATACAAAGAAATGTCTTATCATCAGAGCCATGAATCAGCCGTTGCCAGTCAAACGGTGGAAGAAATGCTTGCTTTCAGTTCTTCATGTTTGTAGAACTTGCATAACAACGGCAGAACATCTACTTGCACGGATTCTATGGCCTACGATGAGAGTGGACTTGTTAAGGCAGGCAGTAAATTTCAAGCTTAAGTGATGAATCGGTGAAACGCGTGTTTTATCGGCAGAACACACAACACAACATCGGTAGCCGTTCGATGTGTCGTACATGCTCTCTGCTTAACTCACAAACCCTCCACCGATAGAGGAGGGCGGCATGATAAATTGTGTGGTCAGAGTGGAGAGAATTTTCATGATATTATAAGTGATGCGTGCCGTTCCCCGATGAGGTCAATTCAAAGTGTAATACTTCAGTTCAGGCAATGTTCCATGTTGAGCACATCCTCTAC